GAGGAAGACGGACGCTGATAGTAGTGTTACTATCTACAAAGCTAGAATTGTTGCAAAATGTTTTCGACAAGTTCAAGGTGTTGACTACGATGAGAGTTTCTCACTCGTATCTATGCTTAAATCTGTCCGAATCATGTTAGCAATTGCCGCATTTTATGAAATCTGGCAAATGGATAACAAAACTGCAATCCTTAATGGATTTCTTAAAGAAGAGTTGTATATGATGCAACCAGAAGTTTTTGTCAATCCTAAAGGTGTTAACAAAATGTGCAAACTCCAGCGATCCATCTATGGACTGGTGTAAGCATCTCAGAGTTGGAATATACGCTTTGATAATATGATCAAAGCATATAGTTTTATACAGACTTGCGGTGAAGCCTGTATTTACAAGAAAGTGAGTGGGAGCACTACAACATTTCTGATAAGTATATGTGAATGACATATTGTTGATCGGAAATAATGTAGAATTATTCTGCAAAGCATAAAGGAGTGTTTGAAAGGAGTTTTTCAAAGAAAGACCTCGGTGAAGTTGCTTACATATTGAGCATCAAGTCAAGACGCTTGATAAGTTTTTTTCAATAAACACATACCTTGACAAGATTTTGAAGTAGTTCAAAATGGAACAGTCAAAGAAAGAGTTTCTTGCCTATGTTACAAAGTGTGAAATTGAGTAAGACTCAAAGCCCGACCACGACAGAAGATAGAAAGAGAATGAATGCCATTCCCTATGCCTTAGTCATAGGTTCTATAAAGTATGCCATGCTGTATACCAGATCTATTGTATGCCCTACCACTGAGTTTGGCAAGGGAGTACGATAGTGATCTAGGAGTAGATCACTGGACAGTGGTCAAAATTATCCTTAGTGGAATAAGGATATGTTTCTCGATTCTGGAAGTGAAAAAAGGTTCGTCGTAAAGGGTTACGCCGATGCAAGTTTTGACACTAATCTAGATGACTCTAAGTCTCGGTCTAGATACATATTGAAAGTGGGAGCAATTAGCTAGAGTAGCTCCATGCAGTGCATTGTTGACATAGAAATTTGCAAAATACATGCGGATCTGAATGTGGCAGACCCGTTGACTAAGATTCTCTCACAAGCAAAACATGATCACACCTTAGTACTCTTTGGGTGTTAATCACATAGCGATGTGAACTAGATTACTGAATCTAGTAAACCCTTTGGGTGTTGGTCACATGGCGATGTGAACTATGGGTGTTAATCACATGATGATGTGAACTATCGATGTTAATCACATGGTGATGTGATCTAGATTATTGACTCTAGTGCAAGTGGGAGACTGAAGGAAATATGCCCTAGAGGCAATAATAAAGTTATTATTTATTTCCTTATTTCATGATAAATGTTTATTATTCATGCTAGAATTGTATTAACCGAAAACATAATACATGTGTGAATACATAGACAAACAGAGTGTCACTAGTATGCCTCTACTTGACTAGCTCGTTGATCAAAGATGGTTATGTTTCCTAACCATAGACATGAGTTGTCATTTGATTAATGGGATCACATCATTAGGTGAATGATCTGATTGACATGACCCATTCCATTAGCTTAGCACCCGATCGTTTAGTATGTTGCTATTGCTTTCTTCATGACTTATACATGTTCCTATGACTATGAGATTATGCAACTCCCGTTTGCCGGAGGAACACTTTGTGTGCTACCAAACGTCACAACGTAACTGGGTGATTATAAAGGAGCTCTACAGGTGTCTCCAAAGGTACATGTTGGGTTGGCGTATTTCGAGATTAGGATTTGTCACTCCGATTGTGGGAGAGGTATCTCTGGGCCCTCTCGGTAATGCACATCACTTAAGCCTTGCAAGCATTGCAACTAATGAGTTAGTTGCGGGATGATGTATTACAGAACGAGTAAAGAGACTTGCCGGTAACGAGATTGAACTAGGTATTGGATACCGACGATCGAATCTCAGGCAAGTAACATACCGATGACAAAGGGAACAACGTATGATGTTATGCGGTCTGACCGATAAAGATCTTCGTAGAATATGTAGGATCCAATATGGGCATCCAGGTCCCGCTATTGGTTATTTACCGGAGACGTGTCTCGGTCATGTCTACATTGTTCTCGAACCCGTAGGGTCCGCACGCTTAAGGTTTCGATGACAGTTATATTATGAGTTTATGAGTTTTGATGTACCGAAGGAGTTCGGAGTCCCGGATGAGATCGGGGACATGACGAGGAGCCTCGAAATGGTCGAGACGTAAAGATCGATATATTGGACGACTATATTCGGACATCGAAAAGGTTCCGAGTGATTCGGGTATTTTTCGGAGTACCGGGTAGTTACGGGAGAAGCAATGGGTCTTGATGGGCTTTAGTGGGAAGAGGAAAAAGGGCCAAGGGGCTGCCGCGCCCCCCCTCCCCTCTAGTCCGAATTGGACTAGGGAAAAGGGGGCCGGCCACCTTTCCTTCTCCTCTACTTCCTTTTCCCTTCCTCCCCTCTTGGTGGACTCCTACTAGGACTTGGAGTCCTAGTAGGAATCCACATCCTGGCCGCACCAAGCCTTGGCCGGCCTCCTCCTCCTCCGTCCTTTATATACTGAGGCAAGGGGCACCCCATGAACACACAAGTTGATCTTCGTGATCGTTCCTTAGCCGTGTGCGGTGCCCCCCTCCACCATATTCCACCTCGGTTGTATTGTAGCGGTGCTTAGGCGAAGCCCTGCGACAGTAGTACATCAAGATCGTTACCACGCCGTCGTGCTGACGGAACTCTTCCCCGACACTTTGCTGGATCGGAGTCCGGGGATCGTCATCGAGCTGAACGTGTGCTAGAACTCGGAGGTGCCGTAGTTTCGGTGCTTGATCGGTCGGACCGTGGAGACGTACGACTACATCAACCAAGTTAACACTTCCGTTGTCGATCTACAAGGGTACGTAGATCACACTCTCCCCCTCTCGTTGCTATGCATCACCATGATCTTGCGTTTGCGTAGGAAATTTTTTGAAATTACTACGAAACCCAACAATATCAACGTGCTGCAGCGGTCTCAATTATTTGGTAGGTTAACCGAAGGAAAAGCTTTTTCGTGCAACTATACCATCAATGCTCATGAGCTACTATCTCATTGATGGTATATATCCTTCCTTGGCAACCTTCGTTAAGACTATCTCTGATCTATTTAGTCAGAAAATAGCTCATTTTGTCCAAAGACAAGAATGAGCTAAAAAAGGATGTGAAGAAGGCATTTAGAGTGATCCAAGCCTTCTTTGCAGTTGTTTGAGGGCCTGCAAAAACATGGGATCCGAAGATCTTGTTGGAGGTGATGAATGTTGTGTCCCCCTGCATAACATGATTATGGAAGATGAGAGTGAAGATCATGTCGGAGGTTTGGAATTTGAGAACATAGATGGTCCTATCTAACTTTCACATTAGAATCGTACCACATTTAAGGAGTTTGTCAAAATGGATCAACAAATTTGACATAGAGTAACTCGGGAGTACCTCAAGGAAGATCCGATTAAGCACATGTGGCTACTTAAATGGGAGAACTAAAACATATGTGCGAGTTAAACTTAAATTTGAACTATTTTATTTCAAAACTTAAACTTAGTTGGATTGTAATATTACATTTGAACTAGCATCACATTTGAATATTTTCACTCTTTGAATATTTTATGCTATTATTTTGAAAAAAATTCACAAATACAAAAAATTTGTATATCTTTCATGGATAGAAGAGTATAACAAATTACAAGGTCTCCGACACTAGATCAAAATGGAGTCGAGAGAGAGAGAGAGAGAGAGAGAGAGAGAGAGGCTAGGGTTACAAACTACCACATGCGGACTACTCGCTAATGATGTTGGCCAGGCCAAAAACACCTGCTTGCACCCACAATCGAACTTCATCCTTGATGAACTGTAAGAGGTGGCTCAAGGAGGGCCGTAGAGCATCGAAGACGCACCCAAGAGATTCCATGCTGTCAAAAGAAAGAGGGAAGAGAATCCTTTGCAGCAAGTGATGGAAGATGACGTGGCCAGAGCATCAAAGCCACCACTTGAGGAAGAAGGCGTCTGGGTGGGACGGAGCAATAGTAGAGCCACACCACGCAAGAACTTCATGCCAAAGCTGGCGAGAGAAGGAGCATCCAACGAGGAGGTGTTGCATGCTCTTCTTTTCTTAGTCGAGAGAAGATAACTATCAGCGTGAGGATTGGCGCGCGAGTCTTTCCGTACCATGACACAATTATTTTGAATGTTGCGGACTTAAAAAAACAGAGAGAAATATTCGAGTCAAATCTGAATTAGTCCATACGCAAATATTGCGTCTCTTTTAAGGATTTGCGTTGGAGATGCCCTGAATGGCCCTCCAAAAAAAATGCCCTCAATGGCGCTAGCGGGCAAACGTTCGTTCTAAACGCCCATGTTCTGGATTTGGGTGCTGCTCCAGCCTCCAGAGACCAAAGTCGGAGTAGGCGCTAGATAGAAGACCTGCACGAACTCATACCGTCTACGCAATCTTCTGGAAAAAAAACGAAAACGAAACGTCGGCGCAACGGACAACGGACTTCGACTCGGAGACAGCAATCACGCTGTAGTTTCAAGACGAACTTCTTTCTTAAAATCGAGCAGGAGCAATCGCCGAACCACGCCCGCTGCCTCAGTCCGACCACGGCCCGCTCCTCGATTTCGCAAGGTGAGCTTTTCGTTCCCCTTCCCCTCACTTCTTGATCCCCAATCTGGTGAGATCACGCGCGCGGTAGTTCCCCTCCCCTGTCTCGATTTCTCCCCTGATCCGCCGCCCCCTCCCGTCGCTTTCCTTCCGTCGATTTGTGTTCGATCGCTTCCGTCGAGCGAATCATCGCCTTGGTTTTTGCGATTTCAGGATTTGGGTGCTGCTCCAGAGACAAAATTGTTGGCCCCTCAATTTTTTTTTCTGTTGTTTCCGGAGAGTAAAATCGATTGGGTTGCTATAAGCAGCATGTGATGATTCGCTTTTATGGCAGGTGAACATGCGCACGATGGGTTTGGGATTGGGAGCGCCGTTCTTCCTCCTCGTCCTCCTCTTGCTGGCCGCTGGCACTGGAGCTGTGCCGCAGGACAAGAGGGTTCGCAGGAATTATGGTATATACTCGGTGCTTCCTCCTCTTACAGTACTTCCTTGCTAGTCGCTACTGTACCTAAGAAGTAATCTAAATGCTACGCAAATTTTCTGGAAAAACTGACAAGCTTGACACAAAGTTTCAAGACCGAATTCAATTCACAGCTCCACAAACAAAAATGACTAATCTGACTGTGAAATAGTTCAAATTTGAGGTGAATAATAATATATGTTTTGCAGTATTGCACTATTGAGTTTGTATCTACAGTCTGATTGTTTTTCTTTATCTATTTACCGAGTTTCGCAATGAAATTTCAGGGCATTGTAGATGCATCTTATATCAATGTTGTTGAAAAAAATTCAGGTCTTTTTGTGACTATTAGATGTAGTTTTAAGAGGAGAAAGAACTGGATATTTTCTCTCTCTTAACGGCCTTCCTGTGCTGCTAAATCTTATTCAAGTTCATCTTCATAAAATTAGTACCTCCAATATGCAAATTGGAGAACAAATTCTAGTTTTTCTGCAATGAAAATATCGTCTTTTGATGTATATCTTGGTCCAGTTATAGTATTGGAATACATAACATTATATGTGCAGCTGATGTATTTGGTTTAAATTGGAATTGAAGTTGAAGTTTACGATGTCATGTTGCTATCTTCTTATGACTTGGGCGTCGATTATTTTGTCACACCGTCCATCTGTTGGCATCAAGCCGGTTAGATTGTGTCAACATGACCTGAATATCATTTTATTTTTCTTTCTGATTTCTGAATAGCGCGTGTCTGTATAAGATGGATTACCATTTTTGACATATAGATAGATTCAGGATAACCAACTTCCTTGTTTTAACACCATTAACTTCTGGAATATGGAATATGTGTTTTACTGTTTTGTATGCTTTATACGACAATTAGTTCATGTCCCTAGTTCAAGGCCTAGCTGGGGAATTCACGTGCACAAAGATTCTCTTCCTTGTGTTTGCCATTGTTCTTAATTGGTGATACTATCTGCATTATTTGGTCTCAGTTCTTCTCGATCTCAATACAATCGAGATCCGCCCAAATGACAAGGAGGAAATTGCCTCTAGCAAAATTCCTGTCTCTGGTGAGAGTGGCAGCACAGTATGCTCAACTTGTGAGAATTTGACAAATAAAGCTGTCAGTTATCTTAGTGATAAACAAACACAAGATGAGATCATGGAGATTCTTCATGGTGCCTGTTCTCAGACATTCTCCTTAGAACAGAAGGTACACCACTTTTATATTGCTTCACCAAATGCTACATGCTCAAAAGATACCCCTTGAACAGCAGTAGGGTATGACCTGTTGTTTGCATGAACTCTTTCTATCTCTGCAGTGCCTTGAGATGGTGGACTCGTATGCAACTCTTCTCTTCGCCAAGATCACTGAAATCAAGCCAGACGAGTTCTGCAAACAGTATGGCCTCTGTAGGGACGTATCTTTTCTGTCTGTTGCGAAAAGTGAAAGCACTTGCACATTTTGCCGCCACCTCGTTGATGAAGTTCTCTCGAAAATGAGAGATCCTGACGCTCAGGTAACTAATCTGCTTCATTGACATAAGGGATAAGTATATTTTTCGTCCCTCAACTTTTTTGATAGTATAGAAATGGTCCCTCAACTGTAAAACCAGTAAATCTTAGTCCCTCAATATTCAAAACCGGATAAGTTTAGTCCCTCAACTTTTAATACCGGATAAGTTTAGTCCCTTCGGGTGGTTTTCCGCCGACGTGAAGTGGTTTTGACTCTGCGCGGTGGCTATCGGCCATGACGCCACCCCTTCCGGCCGAAGCAGCGCCCAACACACGGTCATTCTCCTGTACAAAGGTAGCCTCGTACTAGCTCACTCGTGTATAAAGCAAGCTCTCCCTGATGCGCTTCTGGCTTAGGCCGTTGATTTTTTTTCCCGTTTTCTTCTCATTCAGTTAGCAGGGCACGAGCTCACTATTTTCTGTCGAGGCCGTGTGAGTCGAGTCCGGCAGCTCTATGTTTTTAAGGCGACGCCTTACCGCCTTAGGGAGGGGGGGCGCTTTGGCGCCTAGGCGACGCCTAGGCGGGCGCTTTGGACGCCTAGGCGCCCAAAGCGGTCGATTTTCCAAAGCGGAGGGGGAGCGCTTTGACGCCTAGGCGTCGCCTAGGCGTCGCCTTAGGGACGCCTTTAAAACATAGCGGCAGCTGCATCCATGTCGTTCCATGTCGCTGCAAGTGTCTAGCAGCACGTCAAGTTGTTTGCTGCACAAACTACTCAAGTGCTGATGTTCACATCAGAGTGCACCTGAGCGTGTGAGTTGAGAGCTAACACTGGCCGGTGCTTTTGGCCCGAGAGGAATCAGCTTAGATCAATTAACGTGCATACGTAAGCTAGTTGTCTGCACAAAACCACCAAAAACAACACGCGGGACTAAACTTATCCGGTTTTAAAAGTAGAGGGACTAAGTTTTGTTGGTTTTGAAGTTAAGGGATCATTTCTCTACTTTCAAAAGAATTGAGGGACGAAAAATATACTTTTCCCTTGACATAATCGGTGTCCTGACCTGATCTTTTCCGTCTCTTAACATTTGCCTTGTGATATCTGTAGTTTGAGATACTTCAACTTCTCATCAAGGAGTGCAACAAGGTTAAAGGTCATGTGCAGGAGGTAAGCTTTTTTTCACTTATATATATGGTCTATGACTCCCTAGATTTTCTCTACGCTATCGTGCAATTTGTCGGATTCTGTGCATCAAGGAGCCATTGTCTGCTCCTTGATCGTGTGCAATAATGACATGGTTTGTTGCTCTCTATCGGCAGTGCAAGAGAATGGTTCTGGAATACGTTCCCCTCATCCTGGTCAACGGTGAGAAGCTCCTCGAGAAGAAGGATGTATGCACTCTTATGCAAGCCTGTGACGCCAGCAAAACGAGAGCCGGCGGATCGTTCTTCGATGGGGAACTGAGGAGCGATGCTTGATGACAGAAACACACATCACTTGTAGGGATGGTGGAAACAGGGTGATGAGGTGATTGTTGTACATATAAGTTGGCTCTGTTCTTTGAAACGTCCTTATACTAGCATTAGGGAGAGGTACGAAGAGATTGCGCAACACTCTGTCAAGTTATTGTGTATGAGCTCGTGCTACTACTACTATCTATAAAAAACAATGAAGGTCATACCTTCTGTTGATTGAATTTTAATTTACATCCAGAGGTCTGAAAGAAGTTAGATATGGTAAGTTACGGATGCTCTCCTTGCAAAGATCGGCTGCTAGCAGTGAAATTTTTAAACAGAAGGATTTGCAGCATTTTTCATCCGAACCTTGACGACAGGATTGGCCGTAGTTCCACATTCGCCATGTGAGATAAATCTTTACAATTACTAGTAAGTAGATTGGGTACTTATTTGCACGATCTAGCATGTTGCGAGAGCCCGGTTGTCACGCTTGGACGGGAATTCTTCGTATGGACATTGAAATCCTCTTGGGTAGGGTGTATTTAGTTCGAGGGACAAGCGGGTGATTATGGGCGCCCCCACGAGCCAAAGTAGCCCTACGATAAATGGAAGAGATAACCTAGCAACCAAATACACTCGAAGTGACACATTTCAGGTGATAGGTTTGTCTATCCGAAACACGGATATCCCTGCCTCAATAAAATGATAACCCAACAACCAAACACACCTAAGTGACACATTTGAGGTGACATGTTGACCGCAGCGGAAATCTCTATTTGGATTGGTAGAGAAGCGTTTCAAAACTTGCATGATAACAGAAAAAGGGAATGTCAACTAGATACAGAACAAAAAACTTGGCAATATACATAGTTTGACTATTTGATAGAAAATTTGGCAATATGTATATGGTAAAGAGCCTACATCAATTTTCCGTACATGACTATTTCATATAAAAAATTGGCAATATGTGTATGGTAAACAGCCTACATCAATTTTCTGCACATGACTATTTCATAGTTTGACTTAAACTAGCACAATATGTGTATGGTAAACAGCCTACATCAATTTTCTGCACATGACTATTTCATAGTTGCAACGGGAAAATTGATGTTTTGTGCAAGCATAATGTCTCACAGCACCGGATTCACTATGATGAACATGCTGCAACGCAACATCCTTCTACAAAATGAATATAAAAAAACATGATGCAATTTAGCCTTGTTAATATTTTCTTTGTTGGGCATAATCTTCTGATTTCATTTAAGTATAATCCTTCCTTTAATTACTATGAGGTTCTCACCTGTTTTAGCCGGGAAGCAAATCCTTTCTTTTCTAATTTAGCATCCCCAACACATTGAAGCCTATAGATCCTTTCTTTTAATTATCCTACCTTTTTTTACCTCAAGTCCTTTCTTTAATTAGCCTCATCTATTTGAATATTCTACTTATTAAGACCACAATATTTCTTTTAATTATTTTATCGGTTTACTCATAATCCTTTCTTTAATTAGCCACATCTATTTAAATATTTTATTTAAGCCCACAAGCCTTCCTTTAATTAGCTATTCGCTTAATTAGCTCGCCCTAAACACGAGGACTGCCACTTGTATATTTAGAACGAGTTGGGATTAGCTCGCCCTAAACACGAGGACTGCCACTTGTATATTTAGCGCGAGTTGGGATTAGTAAATGTGAATGGTGCATAGGTCGTTAGTTGTCACGTCAAAGATCCAGACAGGAGGTCATGTGTTCAATTCCAATAATGTTGATTTATTTTGACCCAATTATTTTTCGCAGTCTCTTTGAAAGCCCATAAAAGGCACATCAACACATAAGTACCTGGCCCAGGCCGCTTAGCATGTGTACGAGCCAAACGAAAGGGACTAAACCAAACCAAGAATACCTATTCACTTTAATAGTAGGTATATAGATATAGATATAGATACAGATAGATATAGATATAGTTTGTTTTTGTCGACATTCAAATCCATCTAATGATGATCTTCTTATTATTCTACTGCCTCGGCTTACGATGCCCAATTTGTGGGGATGACCTTATCAATGCTTAAGTCGGTGACTGGGAGACTTAAGCCCCTCCCTAGGGCAAGTTCTGTGTGTGCTTGATCATCCAAAATATAGTTTGGATTGTTGGCCGCTTGGAGAACCGAGGATGGACTAATTGTGAAATATGCAAGCTTTGCAGGTGTGTCCCTAAGATGACGGCGCATATTATTATTTTTTCAATGCTAGCACTGCATAAGAATTTGAAACATGATCTTTGATTGGCTTGGCCACAACGAACTAAACCCCGAAACTTGGCACGGCCTTACCTCGGTTAAGGAATGATGGATGGAGGTAATCCCAAGGGGAAGGCCATTATGTTCCTTCTAATGTTGGTCTCATGGGTGATTTGGAATGAGGACAACTATCGAGTTTTTAGGAAGACTCTGACCATGACAACGATTATTTTCTCCTACATCAAAAGAGAGGTGGCCTTATGTTCCATCATGGGCGCCAAACTTTTAGGGGCTATTACTCTGTGAAAGTACTTCTTGTTTTCCTCCTTTGGGACTGCGGCCTCACCTTGTACATACTTCCTCACTTAATGAATCGAAAATGGCAAAGGTTTCGCCATCTTTTCAAAGATAAAAAAATCCTTCTCATCTCTTTGCATTTACAGAAATCTCAATGATCTTCTTAGCGTCCACATAGAAATAGTTATTTGTATGGATTGATGCTTCACAAAAGGATATAGAAACCACTGCATCTTTCTTGAGGAAAAGAAATACTCCAGTTATTTGTCAATCGCCTAAAAAAAGCAAAAAATATTTATTTACCAAGATTTCTTATTATCACTTGATCTAAAGCATAAATACACGATTAATTATGGCATTTCCAAATACCATATAGTCTAAAATATGAGTGCTCGTGGTAAAATTTCAGTGATTGGTTCAAGTGCGCCGCTCCTCCCGTGGATGTTTCTGTCAGGTTTCTGGCAAGCTACCTGTCCTCCTTACAGTCCATTGTGACCTGCCCTGATGTTGATTATGCCAAAGGAAAATCCCCGGTTCACTTCTGCTTCCCTCTTACTGCTCGAACATGTGATAATACCCCCATTCATATTGTTCCATGGTCACCGATGGATAGGATTGTACCCCCATTCATATTGCTACTAGGCGTGTAAAACTAAACACGAATGGTTCTATTTTGGATGGGATTGTGGTACTGGTATGCTTCTTCGAGACCACATCGGAGGCATTGTTTTCAGTCCTGTAGACATTTGTTTTCATGCAATGATGTGTTGGAAGCTGAGATTCTAGCTATCCAGGAGGGACTCATGCTAGCTCTACGATGGAGCAATCTGCCAATCGACATTGAAAGTGACATCCTGGAGGCAGTAAACATGTTGACGGGTGGAGAAACAAATAGATCAAAATACGTCTTGTTAGAGAAATCAAAGAAAGCATGTCGGAATATAGTTCTTTTGTTACTCATATCCGTCGCAGTTGTAAGGCCAACTCCATCGCGCGACCCTATCCTATCCACCCCCGTCCATTTGGGGTAAAACGGACGAATAGCGCGGCCCAGCGCACGGTCTCAAACGGACAAATGTCTGGATTCCGTCCGTTTTCGATCCATCCCCGGCACAAACTTGCGCTCGGTTTGGGGTGAAACAGACGCGCGCGGATGGCCTGGACGCACGCCCTTGTCCCCCCCGTGGCCCGCCTGTCGGGGACACTAGCAGTCCCTCCGCTCCCAACGCTTCCACCCTCTCTCTCCCGCCATGCCTCGCCGCCGCCGCCGCTATTCTCCGGCCACCTCCTCACCGCGCAGCCCCCGGCCGTTCCTACCAAACCACGTCTCGACATGGTCGCCACCACGCCCACGCCTTGGCCGTAGTTTTGGTCATCGATCGAAGGTTTGACCGTCGCCGTCTTTGCCGGTCGCAGAGGGGACATGACTGCCGGCGACGCACCACGGCGTCCTCGGCAGCTTCCGACGAGAGCTCCACCGGCCAGTAGCCGGCCGGCAACCACCCCTGCTGCGTCGAGGTGATCATCGCGGCCTCTTCGCCACCACGCCCGCAAGGTGTTCGGCATTTTGCCCACAAAGGTATGGACAGTGGAGACGAGTTTTTCTTCCATCACTTCCTTTGTTCATCGGACGATTCGTCGTCGGATGATGACACTAGTAGAAAAAGGGTCAAACGTGAAGCACATTAGTGCCGGTTTGAATTTGAGCCGGCACTAATTGTACCATTAGTGCCGGTTCGAACGGCTATGCATTAATGCCGGTTCGTGTTGAACCTTTAGTACCGGTTCGTGCCACGAACCGGTACTAAAGGGGTGATGGCAGGCTGGCGTCAGGCCGGGGCCCCACGATCACCTTTAGTACCGGTTCGTGTCACAAACCGGTACTAAAGGGCTAACCTTTAGTACCAGTTTGTGCCACGAATCGGTACTAAAGGGGTCTGACCTATAGTACCGGTTTGTGACACAAACCGGCACTATAGGGCAATTTTCAAACTCTACCCCCCCCCTGTGTCGCCATTTCAGTTCTGAAAAAATCACAAAAAATAATAAAAACTTCAAAAAATAAAATCCTTCGAGAGGTAGTTATATTACTACATCTACTAGTTAGGAAAATTTGAAAACTTAAATTTGGACATATTTTGCAAAAAGTGTAGGGAAAATGTAAAACGGCTATAACTTTTGCATATGATGTCGGAAAAAACGTATAATATATCAAAAAATTCAGCACAAAAATCCGCATCCAATGGAGAACGCCTACGGCTTGTTTGGAATTTTTTAGAATTCTCAAAATTCCAAAAGGAAAAAAAGATATGGTCAAATTTCAGTTTTTTTTAATTTTTTTGGTTAAATCTGGTCAAACTACTTATTCAAGAAGTATTAATGTTACTACATAATTATTCAAGAATATTAGTGTTACTAAATAATTATTTCAATTTTTTGAATTTTGGTCAAATCTGGTCAAACTATGGTCAAACTGTGGTCAAACTT